AGCAGCGTTCAGCTCTTAATCAATAAGGTTTTTCTTCTGAGCCAGCTCCTGCTGCTCCAACGCCTGCAGCTTCTTGGCCGCTTCAAGCTCAGCTCGTGCCTTGAGCAGTCGTTTGCGAGAGGACGAGGTTGACGAAGTGCCTAGACTTCTCGTGGACCTTCCTGCAGCACTGGCCACACTCGTAGTAGTCAATGGCGGGGTGCCTGTCCACTCTCCCAGTCCGTCTGGGGGACACCCAGGTTCGCTCTGCTGCTACGACGCAGCTGGTGGTCGGACATTGGCACGACACTGCCAAAGAATCTACGAACACTGTCAGCACTGCACTACGGAAACTAGGCTGACAACAGAAACAAAATTTGACAAGACGACGAAGACTGTATTCATGCTAGGATGATTCAAGGTAAGGCTCGAAGGACCATGTTGCGGCCCTCTGGCCTTGGTTGACAAGATTTCCTTCCAACCATTACTTGTTCTTGTTCTTTACCAAGTGGAATCCGGCTCGAAGGACCATGTTGCGGCCCTCTGGCCGTGGTAGACAAGATTTCCTTCCAACCATTACTTGTTCTTGTTCTTTACCAAGTGGACAAAACTGAATCTGCAAGAGTCCTGAAAAGCAAAGAGCGACACGTGTACGTGTAGCCTCAAGCAGAAAAGCTGGCAGCGCAAAAGGAAACATGAAGCCAAAAGCGATGCCTAGCTCTGGTGTACATCGTAGAGGTCACTGCGCATCCGGTGCACTGCGCCCCAAATATGTAGTAGTAGTAGTAGTAGTATTTATTATTTTACTAGGGCAATCCCCACAGACTGTGAGTCTTTTTACAGGGTACCCTAGGTAAGTGCGTGAAATAGAGCTGAATGAAGAAAGCCGTAAGTGCGTGAAATAGAGTAAAGAAAAAAGAAAACGGTGGCTGCATGCTGTGCCATTATGTGTTGCAAAAGAGGCTGCGAAGAGTACTGTTGAACATTGCAAAGGAGGCTGCCTGGCGGCATGCTGCTGGAAGCGAATTCCACCTGTCAGCAGCCAGGTAAGGCAAAGCATAGAAACCGTACCGTGACGAAGCATTAGGCAGGGCTAAAGCCAGGGCGGACTGTCCCCTGGTCAAGGCATTGGTATGGTTGCTATTTGATCTAAGTACAAAAAGCTCGGCAAGTAGAGGGCTGCGGCGGCCATGCACACATTTATAGACAAGGCAAAATATCTTTAGGTTATAACGGATGGCGACAGGAATAATTTTGTGGCGTTGACAAATGGTGGCGGTTGGGTGGCATGGTGGGTAGCTGAATGTTATCCTGAGGCTACGTTTGAAGCATCGAATGAGTGTGTTGTATAGGGTTGCTGATATCGTGTGAACGTAGCAGTTGCTGGCGTACTCCATGGTGGATTGGATAATGCTTAGGTAAAAGGAACGTTGTGCCTGGGTGGTGATGTGATGTCGTATTCTGCGGAATGCGGCCAGCTTACGGTTGACGTCAGCAACAACTTTCCCGACCTGCTCCTTGAAGGCAAGGTGCTGGTCGACTAGCACTCCAAGGTAACGGACACACTGGGAAGGGGATACTGGGAAGTTACCACAGATGACAGTGAAGGTAGGTGGAAATGGGGTTGTCTTCCGGCGGACGATTAAAAGTTGAGTTTTGTCGGGGTTCAGTAGGAGGCCCAGTTCCGTGAGGTGTGATTTAACCGCATCGAAGCTCTCTGATAGTCGGTCCTGTATCGTGTTGATGCAGCTGCTCGATGTGTAGAGTCCTATATCGTCGGCGTAGAGTATGTTAGATGTGTGAGTTGGTGTGACGTCTGTTACGTGTCTTGTGTAGATTGTGAAAAGAACGGGGCCCAGGACAGAGCCTTGAGGTACCCCTCGACTACAGGTCACGGAGTCGCCGGATGTTTTTGTGGAGGGGTTCGTCACTGTCTGTCGACGAGCGCTTAGATAGGAGGCGAACCAAGACAGTGCTGTGCCACAAATACCGCAGGAGTAGAGCTCGTTGATGAGTGGCTGGTGCTTGACCCGGTCGAACGCCTTGCTCATGTCCAAGAATAACACTCCGGTGTTCTGACCGTCATCCAAGCGTTGTTGCCACTTTGATATAGCCAGTGAAAGTGCATCCTCTGTGGAATGATCAGAGCGGTAGGCGAACTGTTGGGGAGGAAGAATGTTGAGCTCTGGGTGGGTGTTGATATAGCGCTGCAGTTGATGAAGGACGATCTTTTCTAGAAGCTTGGATACGATGGGGAGTAGAGATATGGGGCGATAGTTAGAGGGACATTCTGGATTGCCTTTCTTGAAGAGGGGGAATACAGACGCTACTTTATATATGTCTGGAAAGGAACCGAGGGAGAGTGATTCGTTGAAAATGAGACAGAGGGGACCGGCTAGTTCTTCTGCACAGATCTTCAGAGGAAGGGGTGGGAGTTCGTCGGATCCGGTGGATTTGAAAGGGGAGATCTTCTTGAGGAGCTTGCAGACTTCAGTGGTAGTGACAGGGGTGAAATTTGCGAAACTGGTGAGCTGTCGGGGGCCTTGGGGGATTTGCAGGGAAGGAGGTCGCTCTGGGTCAGAGACGACCGATCCAAAGAAGTTGGTGAGGCTGGAAATGTCGGCTTTGAGAGGTGTTGGAGTGGTGTTCCGACCAAGGAGTTTGTTGAGCAGTTTCCATTGGCGGCGAGGATCATTTCGGCAGTCTGAGAACTCCCTTACTAAATATTGATTCTTTAGGCGTTTGTTAAGCAGCGTGCCTTCTCTTCTTGCTGCACGGTACAGTTGCAAGAGCTGGGTGTCAGTCGGGTTTCTCATAACCGCGCGGTGAAGATGTTTGCGACGGTGGAAGAGATTTGTTAGCGCTGGTGTACACCACGGGGATGGCTTAGGTTTCCGTGATTTCTGACTGCGACAGGGCCGTAGTGGACACAGCGTGTTTACGGCCAACAGGACGCTGTCGCGAAACGCTGATGCTGATTCATCCAGCGATTGGAAGGTGCCGCTCGTCGATTCGGCCACATTCTTTGCGATTTCTGTTTTCAGCATATCAGGGCTGATTGAAGACAGAGGTGGTCGGCGGATATGTCGTATCCCTGTAGTTGCGGGTGATGAAGCTCTACCAGGGGCGCTGTAGGAGAAAGTTACAAGGTGATGATCACTGACGTCTACTACGGGATGTACAGCTTGGTTCCAGATGAAAGCTCTGGAACTGCCTGGCGCACGACCTAGCAACTGTTGATCGACCAGTACAACGTCTAGACATGATTGGCTGGGGAATCGTGAGGGAGAGGAGATTATGTTCTCAAGGTGAAGTGAGCTGCAGAACTCTTTGAAATGGTGAAGGTGGGATGTGGGTGGTGTTCGCAGTGTGTCACAGTTTAGGTCACCCAGAACAATCATCGGTGCACGTGGGTTGTAGAGATGATCGGCGGTATCTGTAAGAAGCTGCCAAAAGCCCACAGTGTTGTTTGGGGGCCTGTAGACACAGGTCAGTGTAAGCTGGTCAGTTTTTGTGGTCTGCACCACAATGCACGAGACTTCAAGCTGGTTTGGATTTGGGGGGGGAAATATGCAGGCACGGCGTCCTAAGAAGTGACGACATCCATAAACTGCATGGCATCATGCAGATAGAGCGATAGCGTACCGAAACTAGTATAAAATACAAACAAAACAAAAAAAACTGAGAGAAGCGAAAATAAATAAATCGAAGAGAAGAGAGGAAGAAGAGAGAAGGAATTTAATTCTAATTACTTAGAGCTGGACAGATATTGTCAAGGAGACATGCAGACACACAATCGAATCGACTCGACTGCATGTAGAGTAGCTGCCTCTACCTGCAGCAGAGTGGGGCACGTAGGTACGTGATCAAAACGGGAAAAGTGAAAGGTGAGAGAAACAAAATACAAATTAATTCGAACGAGCAAATACAATAATTGTGAATTCACGTGCAAGTGTCTGTAACACTACGGCTGTAACAGTCAGGTTTCACACCGGACCCGCTGACGATGTGTCCCAGGTACTTGACTGACGACTGCTTGAGGTAGCATTTGTCGGGATTTAGAGTGATGCTGGCGTCGGCAAGGACCTGGCGCGTTGTGTCCAGCCGGTGGTCGTGTGCAGCTTCGTTAGTGGCGTGGACCAGAAAATCGTTCATGAATACCTCAAAACCTTTGACGTGGGACAAGAAATCCTGCAGACGTCGCTGGAAGATCTCCGGTGCAGAGGTTATACCGAATGGCATCCGGAGGATTTGGAACCGACCCACAGGCGTGATGAACGTGGTCAGCTTGGTTGCAGACTCCGTGAGGGGAAGCCGCTGTTGGCATCCAGTGTGCAAAAGACAGTATTGCCGGCAAGCCTAGCCAGGGTGTCCTCAACTGTCGGAAGAGGAAATGGCTCCCGCTTCCGTTGCCGTTCCGCTTCTTTAGGTCTACCCAGATCCGTACGCAACCATTAGGTTTACGTACCAGCACGAGTCAGAGTGACCCGTTTCCCGGCCGATGATGCCCATTTCCTCCATACGCGCGAGCTCTTCTGTGACCTTGTCATGTAGAGGCAGAGGCACACGGCGGGCAACACCACAGTGGTACGGCGTGGCGTCGTCGACGAGATTGATGTCAGCTGGAGGCCCAACCATACAACCGATGGGCTGTGCTGGCTTGCTGGCACATGATTCTGCTGCATCTAAACTCTGGATCAGGCGAAGTCGGTGGCAGTCTGTGCGACTCAACAGGTTGGTAAATCCAGGACCATCAATAACTACCATCTCCATAGAGAACAGTTCACTCTTGTGCATGGTGTCTGCAGTGAACTGACCCTTGATGGATAGATGTGCACCGGATGGACCAAGGAGTTTGGTACTGGATGGTGTGAGTACAGGGCGTTGTACGAGATTCTGTTAGTGGAGTGCATGATACACGATGCATCGGCACCTGTGTCGATCTTGAATATCAAATTTGTCGAGCAAACAGGCCGACTTACTGACCAGGAGTCAGTTGACTGGGAAGGACTGGTGGTGGATTACAGCTCTGCCACAACACCCATGAGTGGCGACGGGGACGCGAGCGATTCATTTCCGACAGCTCTGGCACCACGCGTGGTTGCTGGAGTGGAAAGACAGACGGCGGCGAAGTGGCCTTTCTTGCCGCATGAATTACACTTGCGACCAAACGCAGGACACGCAGAACGGTTGCTCTTGTGCGAACCAGCGTGGCCACACCACGGACTTGTTGAAGCTGCAGTGCCGCTCTTCCTCTGCATGGACGTCGTTGGTGCAGGGTTCGATGGAATGCCGCTGCACTGGAGACGACTCCTTGCATCTTGCTGCTTTCCTCCAAAGCGGGATGCAGCATTGACTTGCGGCCTGGCGGCTTGCGCTGCAACGTCTCCGGAGATTTTCTCGGCCTGCCTGGCCCTGAGAACTGCGCCCGTGAGTGTGAGTTTTGCGGGATCAATCTGCTGCAGCTCCTTGGCGACTTGACGATCCAGAATGTGAGCCACGAGGCGATCTCGAACTCTGTTGTCCTTCTGGTCACCAAAGTCACAGAATTTAGCTATGGCGTGAAGTTTCCGAACAAATTCTTCCACGGATTCTCCTGGAAGATGGTCGCACTGTTGGAAAATGGTCATCTGATGAAACATGTTCAGTGCTGGCTTAAAGTAAGCGTCCAGCTTCGTCAGGACCTTGTCATGCTTGTCCTCGTCTCCAACGGCGTCGAATGCCAGTTGATCGAGGTCAGTTTCGGCCTCTGGGGCTAGCCAGTAGAGCAACGTAGAGATTTGTACTTTCTCGTCTTTTGCGTTGAGCTCTGAGGCGAGACGATATCCCGCAAACCAGCGTTTCCAAGCCGGCCAGGAAACTGGAATGGAGAAATCAAAGTCTGCAGGCGGCGTGAGCTTGGCCATTTCTACTCGAAGTGTAGACCTGGTTGTCTAATTTCTAACACCATATTGTGTCATGTACTGACATAAGGAAGTGGTTTCTTTTACAGACAGATGAGTGTAGATATAGTGAAGAGTCAGGGAGGCCATGCCCAGCAAAGCATGGTATCATGCGTAGCACGAGGGTAGTGCGAGGTCACGTACCGTGTATACATGGCGACAGACAGGGGAGTACTATGCCGTGAATGGATGAAAGGATAACATTATACAGGGTAGGACACAAATGAATTGTACCACATGACGAATAAGAAACCTGCATGATGAATATAGAAATGGGAAATGAAAGTTGCTGATGCGATTCATGTCCGAGTCTAGAGCCATACTGCCGCAGTATTAACATCAAGAGAAGGAGTGCGGGGAACAATCAAGTGAACGATAAGAAATCAAAAACTACAGGAAAGAAGTACAGTATGGAACACTAGTAGCAGAAAGCAGATGATGCGCAGCGCAGCAAGTCAATCAAGAAAATGCGCAGACTTAACACGATTAACAGAGACGGTCTGGTCCTTACCATTGATACGCAGAGTGAAGTACTTGGGACTGCGCTTGACCACGGGGAAAAGACCATCATCCGGCGGTTGGAGTGGTAGCCGAATTGCGTCACGGCGCAAACACACTTTAGCGGCTGTGTCCAAATCGCGGGGCAGATAGACAGGATTCATGCCAGTACGGACAGGAAGAGGACAGATCTGCCGCAGGAAGGTAGACAGACGAGATGCGTAATCACCGCGGTCGCTGGCAGGTGTCAAGGAACTAGACGGGAAGAATTCACCAGGAAGGCGCAGCGTTGTACCGTAAACCAGTTTTGATGGTGAACAGTTGCTATCAGCCTTGGTCGATGTCCGGATGCTGAGCAGAAGACGCGGTAGCGCTTCCAGCTAGTGATTTGAGTCAGAGAGAGAGAGAGTCCGCAGTGATGACTTTATATGCCTATGTAATCGCTCAATTAAATCATTGAATTGGAGATGGTAGGCGGTGGTGCGCTTGCGCTTGCATCCCAGTAGCTTCATCAAACTGTTCCAGAGGGCCGACTCAAATTCAGCACCACGATCTGTGATGAGAGAAGAGGGTACACCAAACAAGGCAATCCAGCCTAAGGCATACGCAACAGTGGATGCAGTGGCATCAGAGATTGGAAAAGCCTCAGGCCATCGGGTGAATCGATCAATGCACGTCAAGTGATAACGATTTCCGTTGCATGAAGGAAGAGGACCAACGAGATCAATGTGGATGGAATCAAAACGCTGATCCGGCACAGGAAAGCTACAAATAGCAGAGTGGGTATGATGCTGGGCAACACAGCCTTGCCCAAAGGTGGCAGCTGCGGACACTGCACCCACTCTGGTGCTGGTTGCTGATCGCAGTGCCCGGATCCTATCAAAGCATTCATACACCTTCAGGTCCCTGCCTGTCATGGAGAAACGGACAATATTTGCAAACACCCACAGCCCACTCGACATTGGACCAATTACTTGCTTTTGCACAAGAAGAACTAAAACTAAAAGAGCTAGAGAAAAAGGATCAAGGCTCGCGCACCCAGATGACATGGGCATAATGGCGACCTACGTCATCGTGCGCACTCACAATAATACTAGAAAATGATACTAGAAAATGAATGAACGCCAGGAACAGAGCGCGGATAAACTAGAGAGCTTGGAAGCTCAGGGCCCTACGCTATGCTTTATGCTTTTTTGCCTAGCTCATCGTACATGTTATTAGAACTGATGGAAATGTTTTTTTCCGCTGATTGGCCACATCATTGTATTGCAAAAACGTTTCAATCAGTTTGGATATGAGTTAGGGGCCGTCCGTAAATATCGATGTTTTTTAGAGACGATATTGGTGCTTCTCTCCCTTGACCCGCCCCCCCCCCCCCCTCCCCCCCTCCCCCCAGAAGACGCACATGTACATCTAGATCATGGAATCAATATTTTTGGATGCTCATTTTTTTTCCTTTTTCGTCAATAATATGAACCCAAGAATTTTTTTAAAATCCTTGTTCAGACAGTGAAGACTGGAAACTCTTGTGGAGTTCGTGAGTGTTTGTTCGCACTGCCTCTACGTCTTGAAAAAGGTCTCCTGCAGGCATCGTTCGGCCGATTTCCACAATCAATAGCTCATTATTTTGCTCTTGAAATTCGCCATGGGCGTACAGCTTCCAATTTTTGATTTTGTTCTTGTGTCGCGAGTTTTAGCTCCGCGAACGGAAGCTGGTTTCACATTTCTTGTATAGCCATTTGGACGTCCGCGTGCAGGGATCGGCGAAACTTCAGATATTTACATCGATATTTTTCTGATGCTCGAAAAGACGCACATGGCTCAAACCCCCTCCCCCCCAGACGCACCAATATCGTCTCTAAAAAAACATCAATATTTACGGACGGCCCCTTAGGCAAAAGTATTTGCCGAATTTAGTGCGGATTGTTATTTCTCTAATTTCATCCACTTTTGGTTTGAAACTCGGATGTTGAGTCCTAAATAAATGTAAAAGAGAACAGGACATATGGATACGAGTTAAGAGTAACTCTCCATCACTGTAACATGATACTATATACAGTTAGAAAGTGCAATACCTAGGCACAAAACTGACAGAGTACTGAGACATTCGACGTCCTGACACCTAGCTTCAACACATCTCCGTAGCGCTAACCGACAGCCTTCCAACTTGGAAGGTTCAAGGATATGGAAAGACCAAAAAGGGGGAGGCAAGCGCAACGAAAACGAGCAAAAGCTACAGTCCCAACGGAACAAAGAATGTCGATTGTTACTGGACGATGACGAGACCAGTACGATATTTGACAAAGCGGTCTAACTACAATTCGAAGCAGCAAAGCAGCACATCACCCAACTTGGGTGGGTCATAAATATCAAAGATAAGTAAAGAAAGGGAAGCTTTGCGAAAACGAATTGTACAAGCCGAAAGCCAAACTCCTACAGTACTCCTCATGCATGACATTGTGATGGACTAGTTGACTACAAAACAAGTTGTTTCACACGACGTACGTTTCGCCGTATGGTTCGTGACGGCTCATCAGGTGTGCAATTTGAAACTCGGATGTTGAGCCATAAATTTAATGTAAAAGAGAAAAGTTCTCTGTCAGTTTTGTGCCTAGTTATTGCACTTTCTGACTGTATAATGTTACAGTTATGGAGAGTTACTCTTAACTCGTATCCATATGTCCTTTTCTCTTTTACTTTTGGTTTGCTTCTTCTTTTCTTTTTATCTCCTTATACTGTAAATCAACACATTTTGGCAGATGAGAAACTTTGGTTGATGAGAAACGAAACTTTTCTCCGTCATTACGGAGGATTAGCAAGACGAAATTTGTGTTCGCGTTCGCAAACATTTTTCAGATCGCGAACTGGATTGCGAACTTTCGCATTTTTCGTTCGGAAAAGTAGTCGGAACACGAATCGCGGATTCGTGTCAGGGCAGTCATAAATTTACCACGCTGTACTGTCTGTTTACAATGTACGTCGTGTCAACGTCCTGCATGTCCGAATTCTGTTTGCTAATCCTTCTCATAACGCGAATTCCGTCACTGAGTTCGACTTTCCTTGGAGAGCGAACGCGAACGCGAATTTCGTCTTGCTAATCTCCATCATTTGCCTCTATGACAAACTGTGGCCTGCGATTTACTTTGGCCGGTTGGTACCAAGCGGCGAAATCAGCGAAATTGAATCGCCAGCAAAAAGTTGTTGATATTAATACAGTAATCGGATTTTCTGGCCTTTTTGTAGTATTACATTGACCTGTTGAGCCAATGAAGACGGCCGAATGCATGATTGCCTGTGGAGCACATTACATAACTTTACAGTCTCCTAAAATACATATCCTGTCCGACGGCTAAAGAGGCTGCAGATTTAGTTTTTCTGCGCGTCGAAAGGGATGTCTGTCCTGACGTTTCCTGGGCCCAACGCTAACTCTGCCGATCACAGGCGTTCTGGAGTCGACGGGATGTCTGTCCTGACGTTTCCTTGGACCGGTGCTGACTCTGCCGATCACGGGCGATCTGGACTCGACGGGATGTCTGTCCTGACGTTGCCTGGGACCGGCGCAGACTCACCCGATCACGGGCGTTCTGGAGTCGACACGATTTCTCTTCCGACGTTTCCTGGGACCGGCGCTGAATCGCTCGTTCACGCCTATTTTGGAGACGACGGGATCTCTCTTCCAAAGTTTTTTTTGCTGACGCATCCTATCATCTATTCGGCAATTAATGTCCATTCTAAATTCATTTCCTCATTGTCTCCCTATTTCTTACCAAATCTCCCTGTACATCAGGGAGTCGTATACAGAATACGACGAATATTGTGGCCAGCTGTTTCTACGGGACGGTACCGGACAGATACGGAAGCCAGAAAATATTGTGGCCAGCTGTTATGTACAATCCTGTAGAGCCTTTGTAGTCACAGATACAGGACAGATACGGGACAGATACGGGGTAGCTCCAGGCGTGACACGACCCCACAAACAAACAAACAAAACAAACAAACAAACAAAGACCAAATTAAAGCCGTGCGGACCATGGCTAGCGCCAGACGTTACTGAAGTAACGTCTTCTGCATAGCTACGGGAACAATACAAGGCTCAACAAGAATTGATACGTAGTGATCAATAGTAAATACGTTCGATATCAAGAAAGGAATAGAGAGGGAGAGGGAAAGAGAGAGAGAGAGAGAGAGAGAGAAAGAGAGAGAGAGGGAGGGAGAGAAAGAGAGAGAGAGAGAGAGTGAGAGAGAGAGAGAGAGAGACCTAATCACATTCACAAACAAGAACCCCTTGCTCACACAAATACGTCACATACACACCTGCAGTAACATACATTTATGCATAGTAAACGACATGCTCTTATGCGCGCACACACGTGTGTATGCCTGCGTGTGTGTTCAACATTCGTGGACATGCACGAGCACATACACTTACACACAACATGCGCCATGCCATGTTCATTAGATTTTGC